AAACCTTTGCTTTCTCAATTATTTATGCCAGCTGAGGTTTTACAGGCTGAATAAATCCATAACTCAAGTTCATTCTGAGCAGTCAGATCCTCAAGAGGGAGCTGCCCACTTGCCTATACAAACTTGTGCAGTCCTTGAGGAGCAACCAGAATGTAACAAGACATATGTCATCCAATTTATCACCTATCACCAAAGTGTTAACACAATGTTGATCTCAGGCAACAGCGAAACAGGGAAGGAGTACACGGACAACAGCCAAATGCAGGGATGTTCTGAGCACTAAGGGCTGAGATGTCATCGGACAGTGGTCTAAGGATGACTTAGCCCGTTAAAAGCATAACAATCCAAATATTCCATTTTTAAAACACAAAATGTTTAGTGAGTATTCTTCAAGTTGAGGGTCTTTAACTAGACATGCTTAACCAGGTTACTAGGAAAAATTGGGAAACTTTGAATAAAATCCCAAGCAGAATTTTATGACATCAGATTTATTTTTAACGTTTTTACTGAGACAGGGTCTCCCTGTTGCCCCAGCTGCGCTGGAACTTGCTGTGTAGACATAGCTGGACTTGATCTCAAGAAATCTACCTGTGTTTGCCTCTGGAGTGCTGGGATTAAAGGTGTGTGTTACCATGCCTGGTTTACCATAAATAACAATAAAACTATGTGTGCTGCTGCCTTTTACCCAAATCACATGCCTCTTTCAAAAAATTTTACATTATGTATAAAGGACAGACTTTTATGCTTTCATTCTAGTTTATATTTTTACCAAAAACACAAAATTAAAGCATAAAACAATCATTTTCATTCTAGTTTTTAGTTACATTCTCCCACTTTATAATCAAAATTAAAGAGCAGCTAGCAACTAATGAAAAGATATTTTTCAAAATATTTCCAAAATGTATTCTATTTAAAAACTGAAACTTAAGTCAATGATGAAAACATTGCTTTGAAATTCTACAGGCTCTTTTGTCTGACCACAACAGTGACCTCTGGCATTTTCTGCCAAAACACTTCATTTGTCTCATAGAACAACTAATCAATTCCAGAGCCCATCAATCATTTCAGTTGTATACTAGTCCAGTCTTGCTTAGAGAAGGTCCAGATGGTTGCCTGTGTAAGTGGAATTAATAAAATTTTGATAGATTACAAGGTATCAAACTACAAAATAGAATGGAGAAGACCAAATCTTATTGCAGGGTCGGGTAGATGGACATTACACTCTTCAGTTAATATATTTTCAATTTTTGCCCCAGTTTCTTAGTGTATAAGGTAACTTTGAAATCAGCAAACCCAAGCAGGAAAGTCACCAAAATCCACTGCAGTGAGCTGTGTATGTGCTGCACTCTTTGCAGAGCCCTGTGTTTACTGAAGTGTTTTTCCTGCCCATCTGGAGTATAAACAAAACACAGTTAATCTCAAAACTAGAGGTAACTGAATTATAAGATTTGTTAATCTCGTTTCAAGTCTAACAGCACTTGTCTTTCCCTTCCTTTTTCTCTCTCTCATATA